TATTATATGTACTGAAGCGTTAATAAGTCAATTGTGAGGGGCTGAAGAAGAAGGGAGAATTACAAGACTTAAAGTGGCAAGATCTTGTCCTGCAATATCCCATCTACTATTCGCTGATGATAGCCTTTTCTTTTGTAAAGCTGAAATCTCGCAATGTGCGGAGTTACTAAAGATTATAAACCTATATGGACAGGCATCGGGACAGCAACTTAATTACTCGAAATCGTCTATCTTTTTTGGTAGTAAAGTTAACCCAGAATGCAAGAACTCATTGAAAAGAGCAATTGGCATCTACAAAGAAGGTGGTATGGGTATGTATCTTGGATTACCAGAAAAGATTATGTGCAAGAGAGACTTAACAACAATATAAATCTTGGGTCATCTAAGCTTTTATCCAAAGGAGGAAAAGAGGTTATGTTGAAATCTGTAGCTCAAGCCATTCCGACCTATGTTATGTTGAGCTTCCTCCTGCCACAAGATATCATTATTAAGATGCGGAGTGCCATTTCCCGATTCTGGTGGAGTACTAAGGCTAACAACCGCGGACTCCATTGGATAGCTTGGGATAAAATATGTACACCGATGGATAAATGTGGTCTAGGATTCCGAGATCTGAAAAATTTTAATCTGGCCCTCCTTGCAAAACAATTATGGAGACTCATTCGATACCCAAATTCTCTCCTAGCTAGAGTGCTGAAAGGAAGGTATTACCAATACTCAAACCCTCTAGAGGTTGAGAAATCATCTATGCCGTCATACAGATGGAGAAGTTTCATGGCGGCAAAAGATCTGTTACACTCGGGACTTCGAAAGACTATTAAATCGGATTTTAATACCAAAGTATGGAGTGACCCATGGATACCGGTAATCCCGGCACGTCCGGCGAAGAGCTTTTCCCCTGTCCAGGATCCTAACTTATACGTCAACCATTTGATTGACTTTAAATCTAAAAGGTGGTGAGTGGATAAGCTCCAGGAGCTTATTGATCCCGAAGATATCCCACGCATCTTGAGCGTTCGACCAGCTAGAGTCTTCGATTTTGATGGATATTGCTGGATATACACAAAATCAGGCAATTACAATGTTAAATCAGGTTATGAGAAGGCGTGTGAAATAGTGGAGGAAAGTAAGATACAAGAGATCGTTGAACCCAGTACGACGGCTCTTAAGAGCAAAGTCTGGTCCCTTAAAACATCAAGAAAAATCAAGCATCTTATCTGGCAAATTATCTCGGGATGCATGGCGATGTGTAGTAGACTTGTCGACAGACATTGTGGCAATGATCGAACATGCCCAAGATGCGGTGCTGCGGAGGAATCGACAAATCATCTATTTTTTCAGTGCCCTCCAGCATTACAAGTTTGGGCTTTGTCTCCTATTCCATGTATTCCGGACATATTTCCGTGTGAAGGTCTCTTCAGTAACATAAATCACTTGTTGACAAGGGCAAAAGAATATGGGTCTACAGATGCCCATATGCAAAGCTTCCCATGGATTATTTGGTATATCTGGAAGGCTCGGAACGACAAGATTTTTAACGGAAAGGATGTCTCCCCGATGGACACGATCGAGCTAGCGATACAGGAAGCTGAGAACTGGGAGATGGCTAACACGGTTCAAGCTGCGGTTAGAGATGTGGAAACCCAAGCACCAGGGCCACTTGACACGACGATTCCAGGTAGTGAATTCAAATGTCAGGTTGATGCTTCTTGGGTAGGTATGGATAAACTTTATGGAAGAGGTTTGGTCGTTATCCAAAATGATACTCTTCAGCAGCTTGGAGCCTTTGCAGGAAACTCGGTGCAGTCTCCCGAGATGGAACAATCTTGTGGGCAATGCGTGCTATCCAACATATTGGTATTACTTCTATTCACTTTCAGACAAATTGTCTGCAGTTTACCAAGCTCGTTGATGGAGATGAGGAATGGCCGATTCTCATATCAGAATTAGAAGATTTTAATCATTTGCGCTATGCTTTTACAGAGTTTTCTTTATCCTTTTTACCTCGTACTTGTAATATCCGAGTTGATGCCCTTGCAAAAGGAGCTCGGGCTCGTGGAATTGTTTTCTCTCATGTAATCACAGTGGTTCCAGACTGGTTAGCCCCAGTAGCTAACCTATTTGAACCACTGAACTAATATATGGTTTCTTTTGGCTGTCAAAAAAAAAAAAAATAATAATGGCTAGAGAAGAACATAGCCGTAACACATTTCTCTTCCCCTTTTTCCGAGTCTGAAGATTCTCTCGTTCAAACAAATTTATTTAAAAATCACGATTATAAATCTATCCACTTGGCGACTAGCTAGCTGTTTGTTCTCCGCACTCGGCTACTAATATGTGTTCCATTTAGAAAAGTTCTCCTTGAAGATATCTACAGAAAATATTTCTCGGTCAGATTATCTGTAAGTGTGACTTCAGTGACAATTTTCCGAAGACTCTGACTGTTATGTTAAAATAATAATGGAATAGAAAATAATTAAATGATCGAATAACAAAAATAGGAATACAATATTAGTTAAATGATCGAATAAAAAATGATCAAGTTGAGTGGAGTTTCTGCAAACTAATCACTCCAATTTATTAAATTATAGTATTTATATAACTAGATGATTGGTCCATACCGTGTGTAGGTTATAAAATATTTTATATGTTTAATTATGATTAATATAGTATTAGAAATGTCTTATTTGAATATAATTAATTATGAATTAATAATAAAATAATAAGTATTTGATAATAAAAATAACAATAAATTAAATATAAAATATTATATATTTCAATACAAAATAAAGATATAAAATATTAACTAAGATTTTAAAATATTTATTTGGATAAAAATATAAATATAGTAACTAAATAAACAGAAAAATATTAAAATATATAATAATTCATTTAATTTTTATTTTTAGTCTGCATGCATGTGCAAGTATAACTTTTTTTATAGACATAATTAATTGTAATATTTAAGTATTGATTAATTTTCTTATATATTATGTAAACGTTATGTTTTTATATATCTACAATTTTAGTGTTCAACAACAGAAAACAAATATTTCATATCGTTTTGTGTCTTTTGAGAACTTTTTATTTTTCCTAAAGTTATAATAAATAGTAATTAAATTCTTATAATATGTTTTGAATATTATCTATATAATACTTTCTTATCGCTGTTTATAGTTAATTGTGAATGTAAAAGTTATAATAAATAGTAATTAAATTCTTATAATATGTTTTGAATATTATCTTTATAATACTTTCTTTTTCTCTTTACAATATATATATATATATATATATATTTTTTTTTAAGTATAAATTTTTTTTTTGACCTATTGCTAATTAAATCAAAATGAATTCTACCATATTTATTTATCCTAAAAGCGGGTAGATAGTTGTCATAGGTACCAACCACCTATACAGATTTTTTTAAAAATATAAATTGTCTAACAACTAAAATTAAAATTAGAGTGCAATCAAGGTTAACAAAATGTATGCACGACAAGATTGCATTCGAGTTTTATTTTTGCACAATTAATATTTATATCTACACGTATATTTGTAAAAAAATCGAATTATGGCTTTTATGTGTTAAAAGAAGTTAACAAAGTATGTATATGTTTTGTAATCTATATTTTTGTAATGTATGATTGATTTTTTTTCCGGTAGCTCTCTGTTCATCTCTTCGTCAAATTTTTTATAATCCGCAATCGCTCGCTTCCACAAACTCTCTGTTATCGAATCGCTTAAACTAATCGGATCTAAACTTATATGTGTATGATTTAAGATGTAAAATAATATATTTAATATTTGATTGTTATTAAAAATTAAGAGTTGATTTGTTCATAACCTTAATATATTTGTTAATATAAAATATAATGAATCAAAACATATACAAAACTTGGTTTGTGAAATATTTTTTTAATATGTTAGAAAAATATATGCATTAAATAATCAATATGTGTAATATAATATTTTTAAATATTTCAAATAAAAATTTAAAATAGACCAAAAGTATTCTTATTTATTTTTTTGTCTTAGTAAATATTAAAGTCATCTCCAATGTACTTTTCTATTTTTTACTTTAATATATAAGTGGACTGCTCTCCAACCTATTATATTTTACAGAAAAAAGATTGTTATTTTTTTCTCTATAATTAGAGGAAAAAATAACAACCTTTCTTTATTTTCCTAAATTAGAAGATTTAAAACAAAAATGGGTTGAAGATGCTTTAAACAAAAAATATTGCCTGAGATTTTTACATAAAACGAAAGTCGTAATCATTCATTTTTACTTTTACTTCTACTTTTTATTCATATATACAGTATTATAATAAAAAAAATTAGTTAACAGGATACTTATAATTTATTTTTTTATCTGTTACTTTTTTGTTTCATTTATAATTTTAAATTCTTGCCATAAATGAGAATTCATTCATATATGATATAAACTTTTCTTATTGAAAAATGAGATTTATTTAGTTTTAACTTAACTAATCAAAACATTTCGTTTATTTTAGGAAATTTGATATGTCACATTTATGAGATGACATTATTTTGTACTAACTTTTGCTAAGGTGATGACACATCAGATTTTTTCATTAAACATGATTCTCAAATAATAGTTAAGATTATGATGCATTAACTAAATTTTTTATAAATTATAACGTACGGTATATAATATACACAGCACATAATTTCTCGTGGCCAGTACAAAAATAGCTAAATACTCAGAAAAACTCATCTTTTCAAAAAATTACATTTTGTTTATTGTTTTATGATGTGATCTATGTACGTCTATAGAAATGTTCCTTTTTCCTCTTTTGCAAAGCATCTATGTAGGTTAAAAAAGGAATTTTATTTCTTCTGAGGGGCAACTCATAGATCTCAAGTTCCTTGGATCTAAACGTCATATCAAATGCATTACGGCCATTTCTTCTCTCAAATCCTATAAATACATGTTCTTCTCACTTTATGCTTCATTAAATCAACACTAACATATCCCCCAAAGGAGAACTAAAGCAAAGGCCCAAGCTTGTCTCTCCCTACACCAACACACATAATCTCATCAAACTCATCAAAACATAAACTCTTTCACACTTGCTTTTAATTTCTTCTTCTGAACTTGAAACCAAGAAATCAAGAAATCAAGAAATCAAGATGGCCCGTATTTCTTCGGACCCGCTTATCGTTGGGAGAGTGATCGGAGACGTTGTAGATAATTGTTTGCAGGCGGTGAAAATGACAGTGACCTATAACTTCGACAAGCAAGTCTACAATGGCCATGAACTTTTCCCTTCAGCTGTTACAAACAAACCTAAGGTTGAAGTCCATGGGGGTGACATGAGATCATTCTTCACTTTGGTACGCATCGCTTTGCCGTACATCTTTTTTGTTTGTCAACATATAATCTACAGATTGCAATTGTTCTCATAATTTATAATGAAAGATATTATTTCAGACGTAAAGGAAACCTCAAATTAGAAACGAACTCCATGATTGGTAAAAAAAAACAGAGTTTATTGTCAGGTCAAAATAGCGTAGATTAAACCTTGTTTTTACTCTCTAGTTTTTGTAAAGAGACTTATTTGAATCTTTATGTATTAGTTATGATATTTTCGTATGCAGTCGTACTTTTCGGTACTCTCCACTTAATTACTTTGCTGCAGAAACTGAGATAGATATGTGTTTATTTATGTATAAGTTCGACTGGTACGTCAACTTAATAGCTGGATAGCAGAATAACTGAATAATAAATTAACGGAATTAATAGGATGGATAAACTGAAAAACTGAATAAATTCAAAACGCTAAAAAGCTAGTATCTATTAGATAAATACATGTTTTTCAAAACTAGTTATAAATTTAAAACGTGCGAGATGAATTGAAAAATAGCGTGTTAATTTTCATTTTTCATCATTCGGTGATTAATATTGCGAATGATATGTATTTAATGGAATCACGTTTTCAAAACATGAAAACGTGAAAAAGCTACCTATCATTCAACTCCTATATATATAGGATGTATCACCTGTAGACTCATGAATCTTGAATATTTCAAACAGGTAATGACTGATCCTGATGTTCCTGGACCTAGTGATCCTTACCTAAGGGAGCACTTGCACTGGTAAAATTTGTTCTTTGAATTTTTTTTTTTGGAAAGCCATATGATTTTATACATAAATATATATATATATATATATATATATATATTTTAAGAAACATGAGTGTATACATATATAGATAACATTTTTACAATGATTATTCTCAGGATTGTTACTGATATCCCGGGGACAACAGACGCGACATTCGGTAACTCATACATACTCTTTGATAACAATCAAATAAATAACATAACATAAGACTATGCACTCTTAATTATTTTCATATACGATATGGGTTTGTAGTTGTTAATGGTTTGTATAAGTATCATCGTCCTTTTATAACCCGAGTTCAAATCAGGAAATTGTGTGTGTGAAATGTATAGAAGAAAAACATTAGTTCATATAATACATATCAACTGATTTTAATATAAAAATAAAATAAAAATGACATAAAATATCTATGCACTCTTAGTTAGTTTTGATCCGAATTTGTAGTCTATTGGTTTATATGTGTCATATAACTCGGCTAGTCGGCTTAAACCTAGAAAATGTGTGAGAGATGTAGACAGGAAAGTAAATAGTTTTTGTATACATGTCTTAGTTGATTTTAAAATTATAAATGCAAAACAGGAAAGGAAATTGTAGGTTACGAGATGCCTCGGCCAAACATAGGGATCCATCGATTTGTGTATTTGCTGTTCAAGCAGAACCGTCGAGGAAGTGTGGTTTCTGTGCCATCTTACAGAGACCAATTCAACACCAGAATGTTTGCTCGTGAGAACGATCTTGGCCTCCCCGTAGCAGCCGTTTTCTTCAACTGCCAGCGTGAGACCGCTGCTAGACGCCGTTGACTGACTTCCGCCGCCTCTGTAACTAGCTTTCTCCGTTCCCGGACAATATATGTTATTCCATGCATTTTATATATATTTTAATTACGGGAAGCAGCTTTTTATTTTCATATTTATATACGTGTGTATTGTTATGAAGTGTTTGTGATTTGAATAAACTTGGCTTTTATTGTTATAGTGTACTTCATATTGGTATAACTGATATTTCTTATTATATACCTACTCAAATTATTAGTCTAGAGTTGTAGTGGTTGACGTATAAGTAAAAAAAAATGATATAAAAGGATATTTTAGGTGTTTTGGAGGTTATTTTCATAAGTATGAAATTTCTCTAAATCATCAGTTTCCATCGAATATGATGAGTAATTTGGCGGTCTAAGTATGGGAAATATTTGTTCTCTCTCGAAGGGTCTCTACATTACTTGGGGTGTAGGGATCAAGCATCAATAAGAGCAGGCCTGAACCGCCTGATCCTTCTTTAAAGCATAAGAAGCACCTGCTTTAAGCCACATATAAATATTTATCAGAATTTATGGTCACATTCACATATAGATGTCTTGATATGAGTTCTGTTCATCATCCATGGATAAACTGAAGTGGTTAATCAATCTTTGGGAAATCTTTTGCGTTACCTCGTTGGTGATGTCATTAAATCGTGGGATTCTCGCCTTCCTTAAGCAGAGTTTCCTCACAACCACGCCGTCAATCGAAGTTCAGGTTTCAATCCCTTTCAAATCATTTATGATATGGTGCCGCAGGCTCCTATTGATTTATCTACTCTTCCGAATCGCACACGTATTCACGGTGATGCCGCTGCATTTGTGGAATCTCTTGCTGAAGTCCACGATCAGACTATACAAAACTTAGGGACTTCTGTTACCAATTACAAAGCTGCTGCGGACTCACGTCGACGTCCTCTAGTGTTTAAAGAAGGGGATCTTGTCTAGGTAGTTTTAACTATAGATCGTATGCCAGCTCATGTGTATAATAAGCTTTATGCAAAGAAGATTGGTCCTCTCAAAGTGCTGCAGCTCATAAATAATAATGCTTATCGGTTGGAATTACCATCTATTTCAACATTGGATGTCTTTAATGTTCGCTATTTAAATAAATATTATAACGGATTTCCGATGGATCATATTTCTGACGGATTTCCGATGGATCATATTTCTGACGGATTTCTGACAGAATATAAAATAAATATAAAAAATTAAAATTAAAACTAGAACAATTAGTATATAATTTAAAAATGGTTTATTCATATTTTTATTAGATAATAATTATAAATTACAAAATTTATAATAATTATAAAAGATTCTAAATATTTTTAGAAATTAAATAAAATTACAGATATAATAACCTATACTTTGAACATTGAAAAAAAAAATCTAGATCTAACATAACTAGCAAAATCAAATATTAAAATAATAGAAACAATATTTTTAGATTTAAAAACCTAATATTTAGAACCATGAACAAAATCCTAAATCTAACAATACTAACATTTGTAATAAAAAAATAAACATAGATTAAACAATCTAAGTTAGCTCTAATTAAAATTAAACTTAAATCTCACATTCTAAGAACTGAAAATTTTAAAATACTTATATCTACTATCAATGGAGAAGGTGATGGAATCAGATGATGTGACTAAAAGAAGCTGAGGAGGAGAGGGCTAACAGAAGCTGAGGAGGAGGGGGCTAAGAGAAGGGGCGGAGTCGGAGGAGGGACTGAGTTAGAAGAGGGTATTTTCAGAAGATTTTCTTAAGTGTTTGTTGGAGAAGAGATAGTAAGGCTAGGGTTTTAAAGACAATTTCCGACGGATATTCCCGTCAGAAATCCGTCGGTTTATTTATTAGTTTTAGTATATTTATCTATCTGTCAGAAATCCGTCAGAAATTTCCGACGGATTTCCGACGGGTTAATTAATTTTTTTAAAAAAATTGCAAACATTTGTGTTCTATTTAATTTCCTATGGTTTTTCGACAAAATTTTCTGACGGATTTAATGTCGTCAGAAAATTCTGACAGATTTCCGACAGACAATACCGTCGTTTTCAGTTTCCGACGGATTTCTGACGGATATTTTTGCAGTTTTCAGTTTCCAACGAATTTCTGACAGATGCAATATCCCGTTGGAATTCCGTCAGAATGCCGTCAAAAATTTTCCGACGAAAATCTTTCCGTCAGAACGTCCGTCGGAATTCGACATGTTTTCTTGTAGTGTTTATCTCGCTTTCTTCCAGCTGATCATGTCCGCGATTCTGAGGACACATCTTTCTAACCATGGGGACCTGATGTAGCAAAAAATCATGAAAGAAGCGGAAAGACATTATAAAAGCTTTGAGTTTTCAAGTCGGTTCTGTGTTTTTATTATAAAAGGATATTTACTTTATTTTATGTTTCGATAAATCCTTCATTGATTGAGATTATCAAACCAAGATATTTTCATTTTCCCAATCAACGTGTGATTGAAGTTTAAGGCTATATAAGCTTTGCCTTAGGGTTTGTTATTGATTTGGTTTTGAAGTTAAATAAACAAGAGTTTTATCTTTACCTTGTATCTATTTGATTATATTCGTTAATACAAGAAGCCTTGAGATTGACTTGATTAAGTTTATCAATTCAAAAAAGTTAGGTCTTTCGAAATTTCTTAAATCTCTAAATTGAACTCAGTTATCTAACCTTACACTGCGCAACTTGGCACTCCATTCATCAACACCACTGGTGCAAGCATTTTCTTCACAAGAAAGTAGTGCTCAAGAATGTGAATGATAAGATCTTTTATTCCATCAAGCCTTATACTATGGGATTTTTTTGGTACAATCACTTGCGAGGAGATGGAAAATAACAAGGAACCAATAGATTTGAATGCTCAGCCAATAAAGGTTAAGAGTGTGAGCATGATGAAGGAATATGGTTCTTATATAATGGGTATGATGAAAAAGGATTTGATTGTGAGTGTCTACTTGCCTTGTTTAAAGATCCTAAGGAAAATATGCCATTGGAGAAACCACCAAGAAAGGCAATGAATGAACCTAAGAAGGATATTCCCATCTACGCTTCAGGTTCTTGAATTTTGAGTCTACATCCTTTAAGGCTCATAGATGGCACCATAGAGTACAAGGTGATGTTCAAAGAGATTTCTAAACTTTTTGCAAGTGCCAAGGCTATCCTCTATCCCACAACTCAAAGAAATGATGAGTAAAAGCTTCAAGAGCTACTTTCTAAGGTCTCATGGTCAACATCACAGAGAGGACAAGTTTGGATACCAATGGAGAAAGAATTTCAGCTTCACTCCATGCTCCTTCCTATGCCTAAAAAGTTTGAAAAAAAATCAAGCTAAGTGACTCTAAACAAAGCGCATTTAAGAGGCATTCTCATGTTTATCTTTGTATATATTCTTGCTTTTTACTTTTAATTTATGTTTTTAGTATATGAGATCAGCAGGTTTGGGTCAAGGAGGTTGGACCTAAGAGTGAAATGAGCATACAAACGGTTCGCCCATATTGGTTTGTTGCAAGGTCTGTATTGATGTCCCTGGCAAGAGGCCATACCGACGTGTTGTGCTGAGATGTTGCAACCGATATTTAACTTCACCACCCATATCGGTTTATGGCAAGAAACTATATCGATGTCACACATTGGTATGACACTAGCAAGAGGTCATACCGACCTGTCATAACGATATATTGATTAATATCAATATATCACATATATGGCCTATATCGATTTGTTGCTCCCTACCACAAACCGATATGCAAAAATTGATATGCTCACTAAGGTAAGTGAACTCCTTCCTTTGCTAGTGTTGACCAACTTATTGCTTTGTCTTCACTCATATCTCCCAAACCCGAGCAACTTCTTTATCACTTCACACACATTACTAAAAACATCATAACTCTTTCAAAACTGAACCAAATTTGATGATTAAAGTTCCACAAGCTCGAAATTATTTTCTCTAATTGATTCTAGCATCATTTTCAGTGCTATTTCACTCTGCAAGTAAAGTATGTTCATGAAATCCTATGTTTTCATTGTTATCTCCAATTGTAGATTTAAGAGCAAAATTTGCTACAAGAGATGGAATTTGGTCTTAAAGGTTTGAGCTTTGTTTCTTATTGGTTTTTATGATGATATAGTGGCTTTATTTAGAGTTTTGATGTTACATTTTGAAAAATTTGACATTTAACGTTCATGGATAGTATAGGTTACGAAAATTCAAATTATTCTTGTGAATATTGTCAAATTTTAGGGATATTATTTGCATTTGCTTTCATTCAACATGATTAATGTTTAGAGATTGATAAATAGCAATTTTAGAAAAATTGAAATTTTTGAAAAATGCCAAAAATTTACTACGTCTTGAGAAGTTTGAATTTTTGTCTCATTTTTGGTTATGTTTTAAGGTGCTAATTTCTCTCTAAAGGTCTTATCTTGTAGGCACCAATGTAATGAACTAAAGAGAAACCTACTGGACCAAGTTCACTACCAAGAAGGGACAAGAGAAAAGGGAAGAAAACCATGGTACATGAGGATGAGGATGAAGAGAGAATAGCAACTCCAAAAAAAATCCCCACAACAAGTGAGATTCATCAAGCCTTTAGAAATTGAAGCAAGGCACAAAGTTTCTCCATGAGAATACTCTAAGGGAGCTTGGACTTTGTGAAGAGGTTATGTTAATCTTCTCTCGCTCGGGGATGCAAAAGTTTATCCACATGGCTAAACAAACATATATGGACTACACTTGCCAAACCCTATCTTTTTTTAAGAAGGTGAGAGTGAAGATGAAAATGGGCATGAACATATATTGTTTAAGTAAGGTTGCAAGAACTATAAGAGAAGCTTTAAGGTGTTAAATGAGATATATGCTTTCAAGGAAGGGTTTAGAAGAGGGAATGTTATAAGCTTTGTAGATGGTGAACTTGATTCCTTTTGGGACCTTATTGGGATGGGAGACTTCAAATATGTAAAGAGTAAGAGTAGCAACATTAGACACCTTGCTGTTAGATATGCGCATAAAGTGTTTGCTAACACCTTCTTTGCAAGGAAGGAGACTGGATGTACACTTGAGGAAGAGCTTGAGCTCCTAGATATGAGGCTTAGGAACAACATCAATGAGTCTGGATTAAGAAAAAATGTTTATGGGAGATCTTTCTAGAATAAGGATGATCTCAATACTCCTAAAAAGGATGAGGTGATACATGAGTTGAGC